TTCTGATTCTGATTCTGCATCTTTGGATGAGTCATGATGGTCTGAAAATGACAACACTAAAAAATCAGCTTATCATTAGAGTAAATAACTCCAGTCTACCAGGACAGCAGACGTGGCTCCAATGGGATAAATGGTGTACACTCCACTGGTTCGACTGGTGTCTTGGGTATAGACATCGCTGCAGTCCAGTGGAAGGATGAAAGGTTCACAGCCGGTCAGCAGAGGAAGCAGGATGAAGGCTGACAGCAGCTGGAACAGAGGAGGTGTTCTTATTTTACTTCAGTCAAAGCTTCATGTAGAGCTGTAACGTTTGTGACTGTCAGACTGTGATGGTGCCACACAGACACAAACTATAGAGGTTCTGCATGTGACATCATGCACATGTCGCTCAACTGCTGTCCGCCATATTGAACATGATCAGCGGTAGTGATCACTCCTGAACTGACGTTAGGGTTCTAACATAAGAAAGCTTACATGAGTCACAGTTAGTTACTGTCAGCAGATCAGACATGCTGGACCGCTGACAAGAGCTGGGGCTAAAAAATTTCAATTTTCAATTTAATTCAGTTTTATTTATACAGCGCCAAACCACAACAACAGTCGCCTCAAAGTACGAGCGAGATGCTAGTCAGGAAAGTGTTTTTGTCATGAAACGGCTGTCTGCTGCCAGGCGAGGACCCAAATGCAAACTCACGGGAAACAAAACTTAAGCTCAAAATGACGCTTCATTTACAGAACGGCAAAACAAAAACTAAACTGGGAAATATTAAAGCTAACGCACAAGGAAACACAGCACACAACTATGAGGGAGGACGCAACACAGAACTGAGTGAGACGCCAACATAAATACACCGAAGGATAATGAGGGGGTGGGAGCACACGGGGAACACTGATAATCGTGAGACAGGGCAGGAGCAAATACAGCATGACGTACACCGACGGGAGACTATCAAAGTAAAACAGGAAGTACACCGAGACGCGGACTGGAGGGGGAGAGAACATGGGGAGAACACGGACATAATGGGCTGGGAAGGCATGGAATAAAATACAAGCAAGGGGAAACAAGGCATAAGAACTCAGATACACAGAGGGAGACACGGG